CCCGGAGCTCCCAGGCCTCACCTGCTTTGGGTTTTGTCCAGCGGCCGCCGCGTCTCCACGCCAAGCCGTCCCAGGTGCCCGCTGTGGAGGTGACACCCTCCGGAGCCTCCTACAACCCGTCCTTTGAGGACCACCAGGTACACAGCCCTCTCCTCGGCCGGTGCCTATGTCGCGGGGTCGGCACTCCCTCGCCTGGCACGTTCTCCGTGCCCACCCAGAGCTGGGGACTCAGAGTGACCGAGTTAGTCCCAGCCTGTCCTCCTGGGGCTCGCAGTCCAGTGGAGGAGACAGTGATGACCCAGAGGGCGGGGCTGGGAAGGGGGGACTCAGAGGGACCCCCACACCCAGCTTTGGGGATCAGGAGGGCTTCCTGGAGGAGGGGACACAGCTGAGAACGGGGCATGTGCTGTGGGAAGAGGAGAATGGGAGTTTCAGGCGGGTCCAGTGGGTACAGCTTCGGGAAGTTCACGGCACATGGGTGCAGAGGGCCTTAATACACCGTTAACAGACGCCCTGTGACCAAGTGAGGTTTGTCTGAGGCCGAGGATAGTTTAGCAACAAGAAACCGGGCTGTGAGAGTCACTGTGCATCTCACAGACGTTTGTTGAGCACAGGTGTGAACAGTGGGGACACCCTCCCTCGGGGAGCACATGTTCCCGGAGAGAAATGAGGTCACGCGTGAATGCTGTTCCACATCAGGCATTAGCGGGTGTCTGAGCACCAGGAGCGGAGGGCGGGCCCACGTGGTAACGGCGTGGTGTCTGCAGAAACAAACCCCGCGTCCGCAGTCCGCTCCCCTTGGACAGGCGAGGGCGGCGTGGGTGCTGGGGAGGAGGGGGGTCAGTCATTTTCTAAAAACACGTAATGCTTTGCAGAGATGACTCCTGTGCCATAGGATGCGCCCACTTAGGGGCACATGTCAGTGGTGCCGCGTGTATGCGCCGAGCCCTGTAGACGGCACCACCATGCTCATTGCCCCCAGTCCCGTCTCCCCGTCGTAGGCACCACCACGCTCTTTCCTGTCCACGGATTTGCCGTTTCTGGGTGTTTCATGTAAATGAAACTCGGTGTGTGCAGCCCAGACTGTCCTTAGGAGACTGGCAGGGAAGCCAGGAGCCCCCTCTTGCCTCTGCGGGGAGGGCGGGGTGAGGCTGTAACTGGGGAACAGCGAGAGGAGGGGCTGGGGTGGGGGCCAGGTCTGTAACTCCAGGAGAGGCCCGGGGCTCGCCCTTACCCCACCCTGTCCCTCCCAGACGCTGCTCTGGGAGGCCCACGAGGTGGAGTTGCAGCGGCAGAGGGAGGCGGAGAAGCTGGAGCGGCAGCTGGCCCTGCCCCCCGCCGAGCAGGCCGCCACCCAGGTGAGCCCACACCTGCCCGCCCTCCCCTCCTCCCAGTCTGGCCCTCGCCTGGTCCCTGACGCCCTCCCTGTCCACTGACACCCTCTGTCCCCCAGGAGTCTGTGTTTGAGGAGATGTGCCAGGGGCTGCTGGAGGAGTCGGATGGGGAGGGGGAGCCAGGCGAGGGCCAGGACCAGGGGCCCGAGGGGGCTGGAGACCAGGCCAGAGATGACGAGCTCGGAGGAGCCGAGGCCACCACACCTGCCCGCCTGGCCGCTGTGGAGAAGAAGACGGAGCAGCAGCGTCGGCGGGAAAAGGCCGCCCGGATGCTGGTGAGCACCGTGGGCTCGGGTCTGCTCTCTCTGCTCCCGCAGCCTGATTTCTTCTGTCTTCAGCCCACTTTCTATCGTGTCCGCAGCCCGCCCTCTCTGGTCCCCGAAGCTGCTGCTTTTTTTTCCGTTCAGGATCTTCACAGCTGCTCTGCCAGCTGAGTGAGACTATTTCCCAGTGCCCTCCAGACGCCACTCTGGGTTCAGAGGGTGCAGGGGGACAGGTTAGACCCGTGGTCGGCAAACCACGGCTTGCGAGCCACATGTGACTCTTTGGCCCATTGAGTGTGGCCATGAAGTTTCAATTGCACTGTACGTGCGCGCCTGCACGTGGTATTTTGTGGAATAGCCACACTCAAGGGGCCACAGTTTGCTGACCACTGAGCTTGACCAAGGCCCTCCTGCCCATTGGGGGCGCTGGGATTGATGGGTGAGGAAGGTTCAGGCAGGCCAAGCTGTGAGGAAACTGGAGCCGCTGGCCTGTTGTAACCTGGGCTCCGGTGGCCAGGAGAGCCATCCTGTGGGAGGTGGCGGAGGTCCCAGGTGGAGAGCAGGCCCCGCAGGGCAGAGGGCGCTGTGCTGAGGCCTGACTCCAGCTGTCCTGCAGCGGGTACAGCAGGCCGCGGTGCGGGCCGCCCGGCTGCGGCACCAGGAGCTCTTCAGGCTGCGCGGGATCAAGGCCCAGGTGGCACAGCGGTTGGCGGAGCTGGCGCGGCGGCGGGAACGGCGGCGGGCACAGCGGCTGGCCGAGGCCGACAAGCCCCGCAGGCTGGGGCGGCTCAAGTGAGGCACGGGCTGGGGGACCCTGGGGGAGGCCGGCAGGGGTCCTGATCCCCGTCCCAGTGCCCTGCCTGTGCTCAGCCTGGCTCTCCTGCGGGACCGTCTCCCCGCGAAGCCCCGTGTCCTCAGAGGCCACTGCCCAGCCCACTCTCCCAAGAGGGGTCTTTGGACTCTGCCTGGTCCCGGCCCCTGAACGCCCTGCCCTGCTCTCCAGGTACCAGGCCCCCGACATCGACGTGCAGCTCAGCTCGGAGCTGGCCGACTCGCTCCGGACCCTGAAGGTACTTGCCCAGCTGGGGGTGCTGAGGTCTGTGGGGGAGAGCCCGTGCCCGGTGATGACACCATCCTTGCTCCCCGTGCCCCCCAGGGGCTGTGGGCGACACTCTGGCTGCCCCCAGGCTGGGCCAGTGGGGCTGAGGCCTGGGGGCTGAGGGCACGGGTGAGTTTGCGGTCCCCAGGGGTGCGGGGCAGCTGACGTGAGGGCTTCAGAGGCCTTTCGTCCCAGCCAGGCCCCGTCGCAGCCCCTGGTCTGCTGCCCTTGTCCTCTCCAGTCCCAGAGGGTCACCCTAAAGCTCAGAACGGACCATGTTCCTCCCCCACTTGGAACCTCCATGGCTCCCCAGTGCCCCGGAGGGAGCCCTGTGTCTCACCCGGCCACTGGCCTGCAAGGTCTGGCCTCAGCCTGCAGCCCTGTGCTGCCTCAGTGGGCCTTCTGTGACCCTCTTTGACCCCTGACCCCTGGCCTGGCCGTTCCCTCTGCCTGTACGCCCCCCTTCCACCTCACCGGCCTCTTTCCGGTGATTCTGCAAACCCAGCTCAGGCAGCGGGAGGTCAGTACCGTCACCCCGCAAGCTCAGGGCCAGCTGAGCCCTGGTGCCCGAGGCTCTGCTGATGGGAAAACTGTAGTGAGCCCCCCCTGAGCCCTGGCTGGACCCTCGGAGAGGTCAGAGGCCTGGGGTTCTGCCAGGCGCCCAGTGACACCTCCTCTGTCTGCAGCCCGAAGGCAACATCCTCCGGGACCGGTTCAAGAGCTTCCAGAAGAGAAACATGATCGAGCCCCGGGAGAGAGCCAAGTGAGGGCCGCTGCCTGGCGGGGGGGGGGGGCTCGGAGGCTGCGTGGGGACAACCCCCCCCTTGTTTGGTGGGCGTGCGTCACTAACCGCTCTCTCCTTTTTTCTCCAGGTTCAAGCGCAAGTACAAAGTGAAGCTCGTGGAGAAGCGGGCGTTCCGGGAGATCCAGTGAGTGACACCCCTTCTCCTTCCTGTGGCATCCACGGGGTCCCCAGGCCTGTCCCAAACCTGGTAACTGTGCACCAGATACAGAAGAGCCAAACCAGAGGGGGTGTCAAGTGGGTGAGAACATGGGGCCCCCACTGCCCTCGTCCACCCTCAGCCCCCTCCTCTGTCCCCAGGTTGTAGCTGATGCTGGATGCGGAGCCTCATCCCTCAATAAAGCACCTTCGGACCAACACCTGGGCTCGTGTGTTACTCCCCCTGCTGTGGGCAGCTTCCCTGTCCGTCCCCCTCTAGCTCACAGGGATGTAGGTTCCAGAACCTTCATGTCCTCCAACCCTGGTGAGAACCCCGGATGTAGCAGAGGGCCTGTCCCTTGGGGACAAAGTGGGCCACCCTTTCCCATGAGGAGGGTCTGAGAGGAGACGGGCTGGCAGGCTGGGGGGAGGGGAGGTTCACACCTGGGTGTCTGGCTTTGGGGAGCCCCCTGCTCTGGCCCAGGCGTGAGGGGCGGGTCTTGATGACAGGCTGTCACTGGGGGTGGCTCTCAGGCAGAGCCCTCACGCCCACCTGGTGAAGGACGCCAGACTTACCCATTTTACAGGCGAGGGAACAGAAACATGAAAAGGGACTTTTCCTTCCCCCACACACCTAGGTAATGTTTTTCGAAACCTTAATTCTACAAGCAATAAGGGACTGTTGTCACTGTTAGTCATGGGTACGGTGCATGACGATACCAAAAAGCCATGGCCGTCATCGTGACCTCCTCCATTCAACCCTCTCGCAGAGCTGGCTGCCACTGCGGTTGGGGTGAAGGGTGCCATATGTCCCAGGTGCCACTATTAGAAACCGTACTGTCCGTGTGAAAATAAAATTCTCTTTGATTTTTCTTGGGTAGAATCCTACCTGCGTGGTTTCTAACTTGCCTTGTAGTGCACGGTAGAGAGCCAGCGGGGTCTACAAGGCGCTTCCTCACTGTCACAGCTCATGCACTTCCGCTAGAGAGCGCGTCCCATTCCACTCAGACGCCCATATCGCCCTCGTGGCGCTGGAACCAATAGCTGCACGTGCCCTGTCGCGTGTCTGTAGGACGAGCCTGGAGTGAGCCCCTGGGCTGAAGGGAAGTATATCAAAGGGCTCATTGACGAGTTGGCCAAGTTGTTCTCTGTGAGCTGTGCTGACTGTTACCCTCCAGCATAGAGCCCCGTGTTTCCTCGTGGCTCCACTACCATGTGATTTTGCTGTTTACCTTGTTGTGCCTGGTTGCCCATGAGGTCAAGCATCTCTGTAGGACCACAGGCAGTTTCCTCTTCTGCACAGGTTCAAACCTTTTGACCGTTTTCTTTCTAGGCCGTTTGTTATTTTCTTGTTTATTTGTAGTGGCTCTTTATTTATTACAGATCTGAAGTCACACATATTCCAAACATTTCTTCCGGGCTATTCCTTTTGACTTTGTCTAGAGCAGTGGTTCTCAACCTTCTGGCCCTTTAAATACAGTTCCTCATGTTGTGACCAACCATAAAATTATTTTCGTTGCTACTTCATAACTGTAATGTTGCTACTGTTATGAATAGTAATGTAAATATCTGATATGCAGGATGGTCTTAGGCGACCCCTGTGAAAGGGTCGTTCGGCCGCCAAAGGGGTCGCGACCCACAGGTTGAGAACCGCTGGTCTAGGGTATCTTTTGTAAGAGACAAGTGTTCAGTATTTTTAGTTTTCTGTTAAACATGCTCTATTTTTTATTGCGGCCGCTTGGAAAGGTTTTTCCAGGACAAGGTACTTATGAAAATAGAGCAAGCAATTTAGAAAAGAAATTGGTGAAGGGGGAGATGTCAGAGCCACCCCCACCCGCTCCCCCAACATCCTGTAAAACATCATGACTAAGGAACTGTTCCCCTCTCCTGTCTTAAAAATAAAAGGGCAAATGTTGTACAGACAGAACAGCTGGGTGGGGGCAGTTTGGGTCGGGGAGGGAGGATGGTAGGCTGAGATGAAAATGAAAGCTTCCAGGTGCCGCTAAAGAGCCGTAAGCAACCTATGTACAACTCAACAATAAAGATTTTTTTTAAAAAGCCTTAAGCCCTGGCCTGTGACCCAGTAAACATCCTGGGGAATGAATCTGAGGAACCTGCTGGGAGGAGGGAGGAAACCCTTAATGTCCAGAGGTGGCCATCAGCGCATCCGCCGACTTCATGGACGGGGCGAGGTGGCCACAGCTGCTCAAGGGCGAATCCTGCAGCCTGGACGGGAGGCTGAGTGCGCAGGAAATTCACGCTGTTTTACGGCCTGAGGAAATGGGCCCGTTCCCCCTGTGCGCACAGCCGGTTCTGTGGCGAAGGCATGTGCGTGCTTTACTGCACGTCAGTTAAACATTCCACATCTGAATTTTCCCGCAAAAGGAAAAACTTGGGGATGCTGAACTCTAGTTAAACGATTTGCAAGCTGAGCTGACGCCTGTGCCTGCCTTGGAAGTGCCTTAAACAATCGGGATGAATGGGCGGATGCAGCAGAAACCGGTGTGGCTCGGTGGTTGAGCGTCGACTTATGAACCGAGGGTCACAGTTCGATTCCCGGTCAGGGCACATGCCCGGGTTGTGGGCTTGATCCCCAGTGGGAGGAGTGTAGGAGGTGGCTAATTGATGATTCTCATTATTGATGTTTCTCTCCTCTCCTTCTCTAAAATCAATAAAAATACTTTTTAAAAACAAAACCAGAGCACAGTGAAATGTGAGTGGAAGGGTCTCGGTGGCAGGGTTCACGGAAAGCTTGACTGTGTGAAAATATTGCTAATAATTCTGGGAGACAGGCCAAGGGAGCTTGTTTTGGCCACTTATTTGCGCTGGTTCCTTCCAGGGCCCTACGTCTCCTTTTGAATTTGTAACTTTTCCTAAAGGGGTTCTCCAAACTGCAAAGCTTCAGGCACCACAAGACCTGGACCTGCCCCTGTGATATAGAACAAATGGAAAGATCTACCTACTAACTGGGTCATCTCTGCCGCAGAATGAGGGCGACTTGACTCTTTCAGAGGACGGAGGTCGTCTGTAGGCGGCAGCCTGGAATTGTTAAGAGCTGGGATTTGGGATCCAGTGTCCTGATTTCAAATCCCAGCTCAGTTGCTTATCAGCTGTGTGACCTTGTGAAGGTTACTCACCCTCTCTGTGCTTCAGGGGTCCTATTCGGAAAAATGGACATCATGATGTTACCCACCTCATTGGTTTATCACAAGGACTAAGTGAGTCTGCATCTGAAAGCGCTTGGAACGGGGCCTGGCACAGAGTAAGTCCAGATGAGTGTTTGCTATGAAAACAATGTTAGGAAAAAAACAAAACTGGCTTAAAAAAAAAAAAAAAGCATGGAAACTTGCAGTCTGAGCCAAAGACCCCTCACAAAGACTTTACCTTTTGGCCCACTGATTGCACTCTTGGGGACGTGCCCTAAGGGAATGGCCGGAAACTTGGGGGAAAGCATAATGCAGAGGCAGGTCCCGCAGAGCGCCGTGTAGAATGGAAGGAAATGCGGTCATGGACTCGGGCAGCCCCCGCCACTCCAGGGAGGGAGACTCTGGCCGCTAACCCAGGGGTAGAACATAACGGACTTGTTTATGTTCTGATGCTTTGTGGACAAACAGGTCCGCACGGGCTCATCAGCCTGCCGCTGCCCAAGGCCTCTGTGGGGACCCCAGGGGCTGTTTTCTCCTTCCTGTGACTTTTCTATCACGGAGAAAACTTTTTTAAAAAATAGGAATTTGAAATGTGGACAGAGATTCCTCGCTGTACGCAACGATGCCTGCCACTGTGCTATCTGGAAGATCAGAAAGAGAAATAGTCCGAATGTAGGACAGTAAGAAATGGGCTTTGACAAGTGGGGTGTTCACACTTGGGGTATTTCACTACCACTTAGGAAAGATCAGCTTTTGGAAGGATTTTTAATGATCTGGGGAAACACTTAGGATCTGTCCCAGAGAACTGTTAAATGGGCAAAGGGCACAATATGACCCCGACTAGTCTACAATGTGTATAAACACACAGGCAGCGAAGGCCCGGGAGGATGTACGCTGGGGCTGACGGGCCACACCTGGATGGGGAATGCTGGGGATTGCTACTGTGAACCCTGAGAAAGAAGACACCTACTAAGGACTCCTGGTGGCTAACTGGGCTCAAATTAAACAAAAAACAGCCTAACCAGCCATGTCCACACAGAGGCCTCTCATGTAAATTGCACTTCCGGGAGAAAACTGCATTGGGCTACCTGGCTCTGCGCTGAACTGCCCGCCTGCACCGTGTTTCTGCCCTGTGATCCCTAAAGCAGTCCCTGGAATCCTATTTCAACCAATAGGATGGAGGCTTTCCCCATTCAATCGGGAGCTGTGCAGCTCGACCAGCCAGAGCAACTCTATTCTGACCAATCAGGACTGTGCTTTTTGGACCAATTGAACTGCAAGGATTTGGAGTCCTCATTTGCATGAGGAGAAACTACTCAGGGACCAGGGTTGGGAACTTCTATGTAAGCCAGCTCCCCGCGGGCTCCGGGAGCAGTTTCCCTTTCCACCTAAGACTGAAGACTGTTGCCCTGGCTGAGCTGAAACACTGACCATAACGCAGAGGCAGGTCCCGCAGAGCGCGGGGTAGAGGGGCCTGGCCCCAGGCTGCCTCGCTGTGTGACAGTTGAGCTGTTTTGCGCTGAATAAAATTTCCTTTGTCACCGCACCCCAAATTGGGGATTCCTGTTGGTGTTGAATTGGTGCCAACGATCATCTGTTGACATTACTCTCTTCCTCACATCTGCTTTTCTGTGTCTCGGCTTCCTCCCTGGTCTTTTGTTTTGTTAATCCTCACAGGAGGATATTTTCCTATTGACTTAAAAATATATTTTTATTAATTTCAGAGAAGAAGGTAGAGGGGGAGAGAGAGAGAAACGTCAGTGATGACAGAGAATCACTGATCGGCTGCCTCCTGCATGCCCCTTACTGGGGGTTAAGCCCACAGCCCGGGCATGTGCCTTTGACTGGAATGGAACCAGCTCGGGCCCCACTGACTTTAGAGAGAGGGGGAGGGAGGGAGGGAGGTAAGGAGAGAGAGAAACACCAGTGCAAGAGAGAGACACATTGATTGGTTGCCTCCCACATGTGCTCCAA